ATATTTTCAATTTAATCTCTATATATAAAATCTTGTTAAATCACTTCTTATATTTGTTAAATGTTATTGACTTGGTCCCAGTTGACATTTCTAAATCTATTACACATTATTAATTAAATCTTTATATATGTAACACACTCTCTTTTGTCTAAAACAAAAGTGCAGCACATTCTTAATTTAGTCCCTACACATATAGTGCATTCTTAGTTTGGTTTAAATATATATATATAATCAAATTAAAAAAGTGTTAATTGTATAGGAACTAAATTAAGAATTAAAAATATGTTATATATCTAAGGATCAAATTAAAAATATGTAAAGAAGTTAAGAGTTTTAGGGACCAAATCAATATTGTTTATATATTAGAGATTGTTTTTTTTTTCTTACATATAAAAATGAAATTGAGAATTTAGAACATATACAATACTAAATTATATGTTTAGTCTTATATTTTTCTCATCATTAAATCAAGCAAGATAAATGCTCAATTTTGTTTCTAAAATTGTATTTCATTGTTATATAAGTCTCTAATATTTAAAATAAAACTTAAGCAAAATCCTAATTTTAATATTTAAATTCTTAAAATTAACCCTTTTTTTGTTTTGATACCTAATTCAGCGACTTAAGTTATAATAACATATGTTGATGGTCTAAAATTATATATATATACTACTAGAAAAGTGTCATTTTCTTGCAAATTTTCTTGCAAAAAAATATTCGCAAAATTTTTTTGAGAATTTTCTTGCAAAAAAATATTCGCAGAAATTTTTTGCGAAAAATAATTTACAGATATTTCTTATAAATTTTGCTACAATTTTAATAATCATAGAAATTTTTTTCCATGGTAAAAATTTGCAGAAAATATTGTAAGAATTTTCTTTTTGTTTCTTGCAGATTTTCTTGCAAAAATAAATTTGCAAGTAATGTTTACTAAATGGTAGAAAAATTTTGCAAGTAACTTTTCCTGCGGATTTTCCTGCAAGTTTTAATCCGCAGGAAAAATAAAATAAAATATTTAAATTTATAAGTTTAATATTTTAAAAAAACTTCAAGTCCCACATCGATTGAAAATAAAGCAATTAAAGAATATATAAGTTGAGGCAACACTTACCTTACAAGTTGATTTGTATGGTTGAGTGTTAGACTTATAATCTACAATCTTAGAATTTAAAAGATTATGTATCACATGTTGTAGGCATGGAAACAAATGCTTCGAATGAATTCATTGTGAGCATTTGAAAGTTGAAAAATTATTGATAGAATTTATAGTAATTTCTTTAATTTTTTCGTAAAAAATATTCTTGCAAAATTTTTTGCGAAAAAATTCGTAAGAAACTTTCATGCGATTTTTTTTTTTGCAGGAAACTTTCTTGCGAATTTTTTCACAAGAAATTTCGTAGGAAAATTTCCTGCGAATTTTAAAATTCGCAAAAAAATATTATCCACGAAAATATTACTTATAGATAAAATTTCGCAGAAAAATTTGCAGGAACAACGTTTTCTGCGAATTTTTATTAAAAATTTGCAAGAAAAATCACATGTAATAAAAGAAATTCTAGTAGTGATAATGACTTGAATAAAATCTTAAAAAATCATGAACTTATTTAAATTTTCTTTAATTGTATATAGTAGTGTGACCACATAAATCAAATTAGTTATTGAGTCCCAAGATAAAGTAGAAAGTTGATACTTTTGTATAAATTTTTTGTACAAATTTAATTTTTCAAAAAAAGAAAGGGGGGGCAACATAACAGTAAATGGACCACATATGAATAATTTACATAGGGCCATGTCAGAGAGGATATTTTTTTCTGTGTGATGAGTGGCAATGAAACCCTCACTCCTCAGTTAGGGTCTCCAAACATACAAAGGAGACATGTCAAATCAGCATTGGATAAAGGCTCTTCCCTTTCTTTTCTTTCTTTTCTTTTCTTTTTCCTCAAACTCCCACTCCTTCTCTCTCCCCTCTCTCCAGGTTAACTACATTCCTCACCACACTTCATTGAGTTCATTCTCATTATTATACTTTTTTTTCTCTCTAAATAAATCACTATCACAATAAAAATAAACATTAAAGTAATGCAAGTAATTCAATACATTTATTTTTTTAATCAAATACTATAATGTGACCCTATAGAATTGTAATTGTCTTAGATGATTCTATATAAATAAGGTAGATAATCATATTAGTGTATATAAGTATAAGTAGGAATAATCATGATTTAATTGAATTTATAAAATGAGTCAGATTTGAGTTCAATTTTTAAAATAATATATCAAAGTTTAATATATTGATTATTGATTGTTATTTGAATTTATTAAAATTACTATTATCAAGTAATTATCAAAGCATTTACAAAAAATTAATCTTTGAAACTTATATTTGATTTTTTTGGGCAAAAAAGTGCGTTGAAAATCTCATTTTAACTAATAAAAAAAAATACTAACGATAATGGTGATGAAAAGAAAAAGAGTAATAATGTAATGGCGTATGTGAAAAATTGAAAAGGGTCACGGGCACATTTCGTGTGGGTTGGGCAAGCTCCGTAAAAATCAAATTTGCATTTCCTAAGTAATCTCTCCACATCCAATACTCAACAAACAAACATTAAACTATAAAACATTAAAAGCATTGTTATGTTAGAGGTTAGGTATGGGGTTGCTTTCATCACCCTATTTTTCATTTTTAAATTCTTTTTTATTTATTACTAACTTTTTTATAAATAAAAAAATAGCCTTATTTATTTATTTATTTATTTATTTATTTTTTTAAAATTTTCAACCCAGAAGGAAAAGGACCCGTATTTTTTGTTCTGACAAGAGAGCTTTGTGATGGGTCCTACTAACTTTATAAATGAATTTTGCCAAATTAGTATTATTTTTTTTAATGCCTATCTCTTGCAATATTAAATTGTACGTTGCGCATCGCAATGGATTACAGGGGGCCCCACTGCAATGATTGTGAATTATTTAATTTTAGTTTATAAGAGTTTCTTAAATTCGTAATCATGTCAACAAAGAAGCAACTTCTCTGAAATAATGAGAATCAATCTTTTAAGAGAAATTTTTCATACTATATTCACCAAAAATTAAAATTTATCCAGTTTTATTCAAATTTTTAAGTTTAATTTTTATGCACGGTTAAAATAAGTATTTTAATATTATCAATTAATTAAAAATGAAGTATAATTTTAAAGTATAATATATATACTGCTACAACCATTTATAATTTTGTGTCATCAATGGGACCTTCCCATTGTCAATATCAAGTGACCCCAATCAATTTCTCATTAGTTAAATTAACTGCTCACCTAATCTGAGTTAATTATATTTTTTTTTTCTCTTTAAAAAACTGTGGATTCCATGATGTTTACTTTATCACCGGAATTTTAAAAATAATACTAAATTTTCTTATGATAATCTATATTAACTTGTGTTTATAAAATATTAAATAAGTTTTATTTATTAGGTTTTTAAATATATTTATTTTCATGGAATATCTGTTTATAATGCATTAAAAATACTTATAAAAAATTTTATCATAATTTTGCTTTACTAGGGTTAAAAGTTGTCCAACCAACATTTTAATATAATACACACTCAAATTGAAGGAAAAAAAAAAGGACCATAAACTGATAACATAGGAAAAATGAATACTGTTCTTTGTACAGTTCAAAGTGTGAAAGAAAGAAAACCCGAAGAAATTATTAAAAATAAAAAGAAAAAATAATAAATATAATAAATAATGTAATTAAATTAAAATAAAGTAAAGAAAATAGGCATATATTGTGGGAGGTTTCATAATTTCATTTATAGGGCGTTGTTTGGTGAGAGAAAGGAGCAGAGATTTTCACTTTTTCACTTTTTCTCTTTTGCTTTTGTACTACTCCAAAAGTTTTCAAGATAAAATAAGAACAAAGGAATTTATTTATATTTAATAGCAATTGAATAATAATTTATCCTTCTCTATCTCTTCACCTTCAAGTGATTTCTTCAGTTCTCCAATACTCACGAAACACGAGATGCCACGAGCCTTCCTCCATCCTGCGTTTTCATCAGTCCTCACCATACCACATTCACTTTATAAATTTCTTCTCCAAAATAACATTCTTGAAAGTCGTTTCAAATAATAAAAAATTAACTCAAACTATAAAATATTAAATTAAATAATTATTTTATAATAAATTTATTGAAAGGAGTCGACATTATAAAGTTTCCAGAAGGCTATTTCGGATTTTTTTCATATAACAATCCTCTTTTAATTTATATATCTAATAACTATCATTACACAACATAAATTTAATTGACTCGTTAAGTTATATAGTATGAACTTGAGTTTGCATATTCATTCTCGATCTTGTCCTCTCAAAGTTTGATGGATATTGAAATGGAAATTTGAAGAAAAAATGGTTGTTTTGTTGTTAAAAAAAATAAAATTAGAAGCAGCACTAGTTTAATTAGTCTGGTGTTCATGAAAAGATGAGAAAATTTAAGAAAGAAAAGTCTCATACTCCTTTGTCTCCTTTCAAGGGACCATAACGTTGTAAGTTGTAACTCACTGCCAAAAAATATTTGAAAGTTGCTGGGTGTAACTTGTAACTCCTCCCTCAATGCACTTTCTCAATCACTACAAAAGGTATTGGTGCCTACATATTATTAAGATTATAAATATTAAAAACTTATATAATAGTAAATGATTATTAATAATATAAATTTTTATGAACTAAAATTTAATATAAAATATAAAAAATATATATAATTCATTAAAAAGTAATTATAAAAGTATAATTTTAAAAATATGCACACCAAATAAAACAAATCAACACTCAAATAAAAAGTTAAAACAAAAAGCAAAAAGCAGTTACTATTCAAAACCATAAAATAAAAAAAAATGCTGATCATAGCAGAAGCGTAGTACTGACATTTGGGAAATCGAAGCAAAAGAATCTCTCGGCGCCATGCATGCATCCTCAGGTGTTTTTCTCAACTAATATTTCTCATTTTCAGCTAATTTTATTTTATTTTATTACAGAGGAAATACCAGCTTCTTACACTTACAGTGGTTTAAAAAAAAAAAGAGAAAAGTTACTTCTTACAAATTTTCCCTTGCAGACAAAAGAAGGGAAAACAAAAAGACTTAATAAAGAAATAATAAAAACAAAAAAAAACAAAGAGGAGAGCCTCATCCGAATATTTCTCTTTATATTTTAGTTTTTTAAATTCAGAAATAAAGAAAAATAACAAAATTGTGTTCTATGGTTTGTCCTTGAGAAGAGAGGCCAATCCGGTCACAACCTTAGTCCCTTTCTCAACACTCTTCGGCCTCACCGCCGGAGGTTGCCAAACCGGAGTCGCCGTCGGCGGAAGCGGCGACGGCTCCTCCTCTTCCTCGCCGAAAATGAGCTCCAACTCACCGCAATCGCTCTCCGTGGACGCCGCGTGGTGAGAGGACACCGTGGCGGCGAGTTGCACGGAGGAGGACGGGGGTTGCACTTGCTGCTTGTTCTCCTTCTCCCTAACGCTAGACGGAGAGAGCCACTTGGCAAGCATGTAATCGCGCTTCCTCCACGGCGGAACGTGCATTCCTTTCTTCTTAAGGCTCTGTTTGGCGGCCTCCGATACAATCGACACGATCTGCGCCAGCCTCTCCGATCTCCCGACGAAGATGAACGGCAGCGATTGAAGAATCGCTTTGTACGTCCCGGTGGATCGCGCCACCTCGAACTCAGATCGAAAGTCCACATCCACAATCAACCTATCCCCTTCCACAACCGCATCGATGAACTCATACTCACCTAAACCAAACCAAACCAAACCAAACCAAACTCACTCAAACTCAAACTCAAACTCAATCTAGAATCTAAATTCAAATCCAAATTCAAATTCAAATTCAAAGTTAATTCACCGTACCGGCGGGACTCGAAGAGGTTTTCTCCCATTTAGATTTGCAGATGCAAGAATCGTAACCTAAAGAGGAAAGCGCTTCTGCCACGACCTTCCTCAAATCGTCTTTCCGCTTGTACGACTTGCCGTTTCTCTCCACGATCCTCGCCACGTCAGCTAGCAGGTTCCTCTCGCCGACACTCACGCACGGGATCAAGCTCTGCAGTACCACAACACCAAATCCAAATTATTATGCAAATTAGGAAGACGATCGAGATTTCATTTGCGTGTGTATGTAACTAACTACCTTGAGTGATTCAGCGGCGTCGGTGGTGGAGGATTCCGGTGGAGGCGGTGCTCCGAAGAGGTCGAAATCGTCCTCGTCGGAGCTATTAGCGTTGAAGCAATTACAGCGGTTGCGGCCGCATTTAGGAGGCGGTGGTTGTTCCTCCATGAAACTCTGCACCATTTTCGCTAAGCACACGGAGCTAGGTTCGAATTCCGTTGCCGGAGCTGCATCTTTGTTGTTGTTTCTCGGCAACTGGCGTTCGAAGACGAACAACCTTCTCAGGCGAGACTTGAGCACGGACTCGTTCCGAACCACCACAGCCTCCTTCACGTTCTCTGAATCGATGTCGATTGCAATTGGTTGAACCTTCATCGGAGCCATGCTCTGTTGCTTTTCTGTTTTCTCAGAGCTTCTAATTTTTTATATTTTTTATTTTCTAATTTCACTCACGCTTCGTTAGTCAACACACATTCATCCTTCCTACTTCCTAAAACGCTCAATAATAACTCACGGATTTTGCGTGTTAAAAGGTTATAAGAAGAAGAAAAAATTATGTGCGGGGTGGGTAGGTTTCTTCTAGGCTAAGGGTGTGAGGGTTTTCGTGGAAGACGTGACGACGGTGATCGGAGAGACGGGCATTGTTCATGGACGGGGAAGTTAGACTCGCCGGATTGTTCATTCTCCGGCGGTGGAGGAAGAAAATAGAAAGAAGAAAGAAGAGAAGAGAAGAGAGGTTTTAACTTTTAATTATGGTTTTCTTTTGAATGAAAGCGTTCTGGATTAGGTGACTCCGTGAGATTGGATTTTATAACGAGTCAAGGTTGCTGACTTGGACTCTCCTGCCACGTGTGTCCTACGTGGCGTCTTTCATTTGGACATCGTTCTTTGCTAACCGCACCCGGTTTGCACCGAAAGGTTCTTCCACTGAGCGACGCGTGTCGAGAATGATTGCCTTGATTCTTGACGGGTGAAATTACCGTGGTGCCCTTGGACGCAATGAACATCTTTGATTCGTTGATTGATTCATGATATTGCTTTTTTTTCTTTTTTATTTTTGTGAGAGTAAAGGAATTAATTAGCTCAGAATTTTAAATTGGAAAGAAACAAAAACTAATGATGCGTGGGAGGGGAGAGATGGAGATCTTTATGGCGTGTATGTGAAGCCCATGCTGTCCAAGATGTGTGCGCCTAAAGTTTTCGACACGTGTCCATAAAACTAATGGTTCTACAACCCATCAAATTATGTTTATATAAAAATTATTTTATTTGATTGAAACTACTCAATTTAATTATTGTCCCTTCGTTTTTATTTATTATTTTTTACAATCATCTTATTAAAACATATCATTTTATACATACTATTTCAACTCATCATTTCGTCAACCTTTACTGGCATTTGATTGGTTTTCTTATACAAGATTATTTCTAGGAATATTTTTTTTTATTACTTTTTCAAATCTTTTTAGTTTCATCAACTCTAATATTTAATCTCTATAATTAAAAATATTTTATTTTAATGTGTTATAGCAACTAAAAAGAGAAAATTTATGTAATTATAAGGACTGAAATATAATGTTTATACAATTATAAAACTAAAAGAAAAGGTCCACATGACTATAAGAATTAAAATAAAAAAATGTTATTAATAAAAAAAGCTTTTAATTACAGAGATTAAAAAGTTAAATTTATGAAATTATATGGACTAAAAAACTAATTAACTATTTTAAAAATATTTATCATATTATATATTATTTATATAAATTTGAGATCACTAGTTATATTATAACAATTATCAGTATGTGTATGAACTTATGTATAGTAGGATAAATTTCTATAATTTTTAAAAATGATGGACACGTTATGAACCGTACCTACAAAAAAAAATGACCTTTTGATTAAAAAGAGATTAAGATCACTATAATTTGGCCTTCCAACAATAAGGACTAAGTTGGGTGAGTTACAAAGGATTGTGAGCTTGATGACAGTGGCAAAAAGTGTGAGGAGTGGAACATTGTTAAATTTTAGTAATGTTTGTTGATTTTATTAATTTAAATGATTGTGTGTTTAATTATTGTAAAACTTTAATGATTAAGAAATTTTTATGAGTATTAGTTGTTTAGGAGTTATTTTGAGTTTAGGTTAAAGTTGACCAAATTTAGGAGAAGGTATATAAGATTTTCTTAATTAAGACTTGAACTTCATAAGTTTATTTTCTTAAAAAAAATCTAAAGAAAAGTTAGAGAAAATAACTTTAAAGCTAGAAAAGTTTCCTTCTTCTTCTAATTCCATAAAAGTGTTTTATAATCCTTCCCCAGAGCAGTTGAGTAGTTGAATTAAGATTCAAAGCTTGGAGAGCCGAGAATTAGAGTTATTGTAGTTATCGTGCAGAGTTAGATTAGAGGTCCTGGTTGTCTTCTTCTTCCTTTTTTTTTCTAGAAATCGAGGTAAAGGAAGCTTGTAGAATTAATTTTGATGTGTTGTTAAAGTTGATCCTTGCTGGATTTTATCAATGTTGTGATTTTATGTTGAATTGAGAAGTAACATGCTTGGGTTGAGTTTTTTGTATTTCTTGAAGGAAAATTGGTGGTCTTGAATTTTTATGAGTTGTATGTTAAAATTCTAGTTGTATTTGAGTTACGTATAATGCATATGTGCTACCTAGTGTATTGCATGTTGGTTTTGATGAGAATTCACAGGTTTTGGAGCTAAATCATGATTTTGCCAAGTGCAGAAATTGCCTTTGCATTGAGCACAACTTCATGGCATCTGGCATGGTATATGTAAGAGATTCTCTACCTTACTAATGTTAGGCTCAGGATTAATAGAATCAAGTGTGAGATAGAGGAGGACTCTCTGACTTAGTGACACCGAGCATTGGTTGAGGGGCGTTAGGCATGGCTGCCTCGAATGCTCTCTGACTTGGTGACGCCAAATTCAAGATAAGTGGCACCAAGCATGACCAAGTCAGTGACTCTTTGCGTGGACGATGTTGGGCACATGTTTTGTGGTATTGAGCATGGGTTAGGTAGAGATTCTCTACCTAAATAATGTCGAACATGAGTTTTGCCATGCCAAGCATGATATACTTAGAGACTCCATATCTCATTCATGTCAGGCACAAGTGGTATGCCAAGTGTGGCTCTGATGAATGAAAACCTTAACTTAGTGATTTTAAATGTTGAATCATGATGATAAATGCTTCATATGTTGAGGTTTTCAGTCGAGTAAGTTGGAAGTTGAATTGTAGTAAAATTGTATGGTGATAAGTTGTATGATTTAGAATAAAGTTGTATTGTGAAACATCTAGTCATACTATATTGATTAACTTAGGACTAGAGGAGAGATGTTGGTTTAAAAGATGAATATCCCATTGTAGGGATATGGTATTTAGTATTTAAGAGTTCAATTGTTGAAAAATCCTTTTTGAGTATAGTTGTCTCTTAAGGTAGAGTGTTGAGTCTCATCTAAGCCCATAGTTGATACTGTATAAAGGTAAGGTTGAGCCATATTGGTTATAAGTGACCAACCAAGTAAGGTACAAAGTTAGAGGCCAAAATTCCTAACTAAGTATTGGAATGGATACATTATTTAGAGGGTAGTTGGCAGGCTAATTCCATATAGTTTTAATTATGCATGCTAAAGTCGAAGTAGACTCACACCCAAGTTGTTCTATCCTTGATAGGAATATTAGAATTTTCAGTCAAGTGACGAAATTCGAGAAATCATATTGTGTTATGGATTGATATCCAAATTTGTTGTTGATCTAGCAACCCAAAAAGACCATGTTATTAAATTGGTTTGGTAGAGTCAAGCCACTTAAATTGCACATCTTATTGTAAGAGATCTCTTAGTTGATATGCATAACGTTGCATTAAGTTGTATTATGTTATTTAGTTATGTGATTGTATTATTGACAAGTTATGATGCATAGACATGTCAAAAGATGTAAGTTTGAGAGTTGTGTTGAATGTTGTGTTGTTCCTATAATATGTTGATATGTTGAATATTTTTAAGTTGGCATTATAGTAGGTTGTCTAGTAGTGATGCAAGTTGGGTTGTTATGTTGTTCTATGTGTTGCTAAGGGAGTATTGAGTCATATTTATGTTGATATGATGATATTAATAGTATAGTGGTAACTTACTTCTATATTACTTGTTACCTTGTAGTAATTAATCTTATCCTTGCAATTCCTTGTTGTGGATTGTGATGATCATTTGTATATGAGACCAAGAAATAACTAGGCTAGAGGTTTTTTTGCTGGAGTTTCATGAGAAGATGGAGTTTCTTTTGTTAGAGGTTACTTGTTTTAGCTTGTATAAAGTAGTTGCTTGACCAACAACCTAAGGTTTATGTTTTTAGTTTGAATTATTGTCTATATATATATTGTTACATGTATATTTAGAATCTGTTTCCATGTTAACCCTATGTAAATAGATTTTATATTTTTCACTGCTTAAATTGTTAAGTTGTAAAGTGTAGGGATCTATCGGGTTGTTATAAGAGAGACAACAAAAGAGGAGAAAACGAAGGAGGAAGAGTTAGATAGGATGAAGAAGAGAAATAAAATCAGTATATAAAGTTGGTCAATAATAATCTTTATCTTGAAAAAATATACATTAAGACAATTAGAGAGAAAAGTAAAAGAGATTAAATAAAATAGAAAAATTAACTATAAATTCAATAAAAAAAATGTTTAAGTTCATAGTTCGTATATATTGTGATTAATCATTGTCAAAATTTAATACTTTATATTTAACCATGTTTAATACTTTAAAAAGAAAGGAAAGGGAGTAAATGAAATAAATGAGAAGATAAATGATATTTTAAATTGTTTATCCACAAGTAAATGAATGGGAAAAATGTTATTATTTTTTTTTATTTTGTTATGTTAACAAGAAAGAAGAAAAATATAAATATGTAACATTACATAAATATCTTAAATAAATAATGAAACACGATATAAATAAGGTATTTTGTTTTTGATAAATCTCAAAATTTTATTTGTTTTCTTTTGTTTTGTGGAAGATAAGAGAAAATGAAGACCTACAAGTGTATTTCATAATTTTGTTCTAAGCAAGTGTCTCAACAAGTTTAAGAAGAAAAATGTATATTAACTTTTAAGTAATGAGAAACTTTTTAACTTAAGAATTAAGAGTAGTCTTGACTTTTTTTTTCTAATGTCAATATTTTAGCTTCAAATTGGCTAGCATGCCTAGCATTACCATATTCAAGATCTTTGATCCTTTTGATACAATGAATCACCATAATTTTATCCTAAATAAGTATATTGATCAATTAAAGGAGGTAAATATTTATAAACTATTATTTCTTTTAATTTATAAGTAATGTAAAACTTTTTAGTATATTGAAATAATTTTTTATAAACATTGTTTTTCAAAAATGACTTGTATATATTATGAATTGGAATCATATTCTTGGAATTGGAACCATAATTTTATCCTACCATTGTTTTTCACAATTTTCATGAATTGGAATCATATTCTTGGATCCGAAAAAAAAAAATCTCTATTATGAAAGGCTCTTATATTTTTAACCCTTTCTTAAGAGTAATGATACATATGCATCATAACTTTACAAGGTATAAAAAAAACTTATACAACAATTATTTTTCAACATATCTTTATATCATTAATAAATATTTTTTTTTAATAATGAATCAAGTGATAAACATAAAAGTGATAGTATTATATACAATTTTGTTCATGTATTATTATTATTATTATTGTTATTTTTATTATTATTATTATTATTATTATTATTATTAT